GTTCAGGAGGTTGAATCCAGTGATAGAGCAGAAGTCTGTCCCTGGGAGGTGGCTGAACCTCAGCTGAAGAAAGGAGCAGGCAAGGAGAGAGTCCCACCAAAAGAAGCCTCCAAACCTGCAGAGAAGGGGAGCAAAGACCGTGAGTCCATCTGTCCCTGGGAGAGCACAGACACAGAACAACCTCCAGCCAAACCTCGTGGTGGGATCCCAACACCTGCAAAGAAATCCCAGAGCGTGGAGAGCCTGAAGGCAGAGATCTGTCCCTGGGAGGTTCAGGAGCTCAAACCTACTGACAAAGCTGAAATCTGCCCCTGGGAGAGCACAGACATGGAGCAACTCTCAGCCAAACCCCGTGCTAGGAGCCCAGTGCTACCCAAATCACCTTCAGGGAAATCCCAGAGCGTGGAGAGCCTGAAGGCAGAGATCTGTCCTTGGGAGGCTCAGGAATCCAGTGATAGAGCAGAAATTTGTCCCTGGGAGGTGGCTGAACCTCAGCAGGAGAAAGGAGCAGCCCCAGGGAAGGAAAGAATCCCCCCCAAAAAAGCCTCCACACCTGTGGAGAAGGGGAGCAGTGAGTATGAGTCCATCAGTCCCTGCAAGAGCCTGAGCACGGAGGAGCTCTCCCTGAAAACTGCAGTGAGGAAAGAGCCACCCAAGACATCTGACAGCACAGAGAGCAGGAAATCTGAAATTTGCCCTTGGGAAGCAGCAGAGCAGGAGGAAAACTCCAAACCAGGTGTGCACCCGCAGAGAGCTGACGCAGCATCCCCCCCTGGGATGAGAAAGCCAAAGGTAGTGGCAGTAGTCAGGGCCATGTCTCCAACTGCCCTGCTGAAAAACTCCAAGGGCAGATCTGATGGTGAGGCTGAGCACAAACCCCTGTGCCGCATCCTGCCTGGCACCCAGACCCCACAGGGCCCTGGGGCTGAGGCACTGCCCTGGAGGGCCAGCAGCTCCAGCCTCAGCACTGGCCTGGTTGAGCTGTGTCCCTGGGAAGCAGAAAAGGCTCCAACAGCATCTGCCAAGCCCAGCACAGACACAAGGAAAACCTCTGAGGTGTGTCCATGGGAGGAGGAAAGTTTGGATCCCACCCCAACCCACCACGGCCAGGGCAGGGCTGGGGTGAGGTCTAGGGATGGAGGTGGAAGTGAGAGTGAAGCCCAACCTGATGTTTGCCCCTGGGACCACCAGTAGCTCCATCCATCCATCTGGATGTGTTCAGGAAGGACAAGGCTAGAGCTGGAGGCTGCTCCCACCTGCACAGCCCCAGTGCTGTAGCGTGTGGTCTGTGGGTGCTGCAAGTCCAACAGCATCCAACAGTGTAAGTATGTGTAAATAGAGCAAATAAATGGTGTTATGTACACAGTGTGCACTGGGAGGCTCATTTGTGGGGGTGAGGAAGAGCCCAGAGACCCCCAAGGAAGAAGCTGCAGAGGAAACCAAGGAATGAAGTGGTTTAGTGGCAGAGGTTGGAGAGAGGTGACGGGGAGCCACCAAAACCCACCCTTTTCATTCAGAGCCAGAGCTGCAGAACATCATGGAATGGTTTGGGTTGGGAGGACCTTAAAGCTCATCCAGTGCCACCCCCTGCCATGGGCAGGGACACTTTCCACTAGCCCAGATTGCTCCAAACCTCATCCAACCTGGCCTGGAACACTCACAGGGATGGAGCAGCCACAGCTTCTCTAGGCAACCTGTGCAGGTGTCTCAGCACCCTCACAGGACAGGATTTATTCCCAATATCCCACCTATCCCTGCCCTCTGGCAATGTGAAGCCATTCCCCTTATCCTGTCACTCCAGGCCCTTGTCAACAGTCTCTCTCCATCCTTCTTGTAGCTCCTTCAGGCACTGGAAGGCCACAATTAGGTCATGCTGAAGCTTTCCTTTTCCAGGCTGAACAATCCCAATTCTCTGGCACCCATGTGCAGGTTTGGGTTGAGGAGTCACATCCACAGCTGCTCTGAACTGCCTGAGTCAGCCCAGCCAGAGCTGTGAGCTCCAGGCTCAGCTCCCACTGAGCCCTGAGTCTCTGCTCAGCTCCTGAGCGAGGCGTGGGCACAGGCTCCATGCAGGAGGTTCTCTGAGGACAGGCAGACAGATGGTGACACCCCTCTGACTTCCAAAAGAGATGAAAGGGATTCCAGGGCTGGCTCCTCTCCTAACAGAGCATAAAGATGATGTTCTGGCCTTTCAAAAGGAACATCATTCACAAGAAGCACCGAGAACTCTGCAGGCAGAAAGGAGCCACAAGTCATTTTTTTACACCTCACTCTGCCAAATCACTTTCAAGGAAGAAATAAAGATGTCCTGAACTCTCACAGGCTCTGAAGTGGCTGAGTTAAAAGCAAGACAAGGCTTTGTTATTGGATGACTAGTGAGTATTTTGCTCTGTGAGCAGAAGGAAATGGGACTTGGCTGAGTAGGAGGAATAGAAAAGGAGCCTCCCTGGCTCCCTCCCAGCCATGGGAAAAGGTAAGCCCTGGGGATGTGTTTTCCCAACCCAACCAATCCTGCAAAACCAGGACTGATGCAAATGTCACCGTGTCCACAGGATGGTGCCAGTCCCTCATCGACAGCCCTGAGCTCTGTGCCACACCAGACTTGCCTTCCAAGGAGTCAAAAATGCAAGGAAATGGAATTTTCAGTGCTGTGC